TAAATCCCTCCCCAGTAAATTAGTCCTTGCTTCAGGGATTAACAAGAACTGAGTAGTTGCTGAGCGATCCTGGTATCTGACTTCTGTGCTTTCTAAAATTTTTGTTTTAAATCCTTCCCCTTTTACCCCAGAGACTAAAAGTTCTTTTGAGGAGCAGACAACATTAGACAGGGGAAACAAACAGGAGCGAGCGGCCCCCGAATTGACTAAAAAGGTGATAAGCTCATGTTTATGTCCCAGCTCTAAATTTGTCAAGGGCTCCTGGTGGGACTCAAGATAAAAAAGACAGAGCCCCTGACCTCCCTACCCTTCCTGGAAAGTCGTGAGTGGAAGGGCTTCTTTCTCCTTTCTTAGATCAGGACGTTTTCGCTTGAAGTGACCTGTTCTTTCATATCTGTAGCACCTGTCTTGCCCTTCCTCCCTCTTAGTTCTGGGATTCTTTGATCTTGTTCCCCCATACTCTTCAAGGGGTCCGGTAAATGAGGGCCTTGATCCTCCAGATGGAGGCTGGGGTCCTCTAAAGAAGGGTTTGGACCTCTTACAGTTTCTGGCTCCCTGGAAGCTCTGTTTAGAATACCTTGGTTTGGAGCCATCTGTAGGAAGGTGGGTAACGTAAGTTTTGCCTTTTGTTTCTGCTTTTCTTCATCCCTTCTCACATACACCTTCTGAGCTTCCCGGAGAAGCTCACTTGGGGTGGGCGTAGTGGAATGGTCTTCACAATATTCTATCTTTTGTAATTTTTTTGAGAGCCTGGCCAACTTTTAGTGACAAATTGGAGTTTCAACATTCCTTCCCAAGGGGATTGTCCAAATTGAGGCCTGCATATTGCCTGATTTGCTTCCTTAGTCTATCTAGGAATCTTGTGGACCCTTCATTCTTTTCCTGTTGTATATCAGATGCTTTAGAAAGATTTTGGGTTTGGGGTTCCTGAATTTCCATTATTATCATCTCTCTTAGGTCTCGCATGTTTTCCCAGTGATCCGTGTTATTGTCCCACTGGGGGTCTCGGGCAGGGAGTTTCTCATCTGCAGTAGGAACATTTTGAGCGGGAGGTAGCTCATATTCCCAAGCTGCCGTAGCAGCTCTACGAATCATACTCCTTTCTTCCCCTGAAAAGAGGATGCCCAAGATGGATATTAACTCGACTCAAGTGTATAACTAAGGTCCTAAGAGTTGATCAGTTTAATCTGCCACTCCGTAAGGGTCATCTAGTAGTGGCTTAAGCCCCTTTTAAAAATTTTGGACTTCTGAACTGATTAAGGGAGCATTTACAAAGCCAATGGATCCCCCTCCTTGTGGTACCTCTTTCAAAGGGAAGAGAGTCGGTCCCGACTCTTTAGGTGTGGAGGGAAATGGGAAATTCTGAATATCTTTTTTATGTTCTACCTCATGCTGGAGTCGTTTTAGAGAGGGGTGTTTAGGTTGGGACGGAATAGGCTCGTGGGATGGTAATTCCCAAGAATCAGGGTTATAAGGAGGAGACAACATGAGCAGAGGATTTGGAATGGGATCTGAGGTGTCAGCAGCTGCCTGAGGGGAAGGCTTGGGGACACTGAGTGGGGGAAGATAATCTAGGGGATCCCATGGACTGGAGTCTTTAGGCATGGGAATTGGCTCCTCTGACTTTTCATTTTGAGGTGCCAGATTGAAGTCTTCCCTATTGTTTTTAAGGGAAAAAGGAGGATAAGTCCCTGCATCCAGCAGAGCATAGTCCATTTCTTCTTGAGACACTGGATTTTTATTGTTAACAGATTAGAAGGTGACACATTACATCCTCATTCAATCCAAACTTTGGGCAGAAGATTGAGGATGGAGGATGGGCCCCCGAGTCCAAATAAAACAGCAATATTTTATCATTTGTTGCTTTTTCTTATGTTTAGTCCTTTCATTATCCTTCTAGTATTTTACATAAGACCTAGGGAGCTACCAAGGGGGATAGCCCTGTTACCATCCTTATCCTTCTTGATCCCTGTCTTGCTTGGGGTATTCCCCATCTTGATGGTTTTGGGGTGAGGTTCAATTTCCCTTACTGGAAATTTCTCACCTCCCCTACTGTTGAAGGTTTATTCCAACCAAGGAATGCTTGACTGCCCCCATGGCTTTTCTTGCCTTGGTCTGTGCACAGAGTTGCCGAGTTGCCCTGGTATTCATAAGCCTTTTTTTCCCCCACGTTGCCGAGTCGGGGCTTGTTTGTCACACCAGGTGGGTCTCAATTCCTTACTCCTGAGGCTGCTGCAGTGAGGCAGCAGGATGTGTCTCCTATTGAGAGAGGACCCAAGACTACCCAGAGGAGAACAGCTTTTCCCTGTATGGGCCACCAAATTGTTACATGTAAACTTTTGATGCCACAAAAGAAATAGCACTCAAATATAAATTCTCTCAGCAAGGCAATTTACTTCTATAGAAGGGTGTATCTCATGGATGGAGCAATGGTGAGTGCACACCTGAACAGGGGAGGGGAAGAGGTTTTTATCCTTGACTCAGCCCCTATTGCTGTGTCGTTCCCCGATTGGCTAGGGTTAGACTGCACAGTCTAAGCTAATTCCGACTGGCCATTTTAAAGAGAGCAGGGGTATGAGCCAGAGTGGTGGGGTGAGCGATTTGGTGGGAAAACCAGTTATAGAACAGCTAACTAAAGGTGACTCAGGTCAGAGCAGGTGACCAGGGATAACTCAAGTCAAAGCAGGTGACCAGGATGAGTAAGGATGAACAGGTGGTCAGGCTGAGTCAGGATGGAGCAGGGGACCAGGGAAACGGATGTGAACTACTGATTAGAACTGATGGAAAAGGTTGTTTACTGAAACTACGAGGAAGTTATACTTAAAAACGGGGGACAAAGAACTGACCATACTGACATACTGATTCTTTGAAGAGAAATTTAGAACTCATTGTATCCAACAGCATTCTTAGAAGCAGTAAATTGGGTTGAAATAGATTGATAATTATATCTTTTGTTTCCTTTTCGATTAATTAATGGGGCTTGTTATAGTCAGTAGCTCATTAACAACTTTCGGGATTGCTGAGAAATACAGAAACATAGTAGTGTCCATGTGGAGATTTCTGAATACTCCATGGAAACTTCTGAAAAATATGCTAGAAACTTTTATTTAGTTTAAATACTTGACACTGATCATTACTTAATTCTACTACTTTTTCATTCTATTAAAAAATTGTGTAGGAATAGCTATATAAAATTAGTACTAACTTTTAGCTGCCATTCACCACTTAACCAATATGTGATGATGATTGAATGTAAAATACAATGAAGAAATCTTTTACACAATAAACCAGCTGTTGTTTTTACACAAAGCCCTCCTGCAGCAAAATATTTAACCTTTTCTTCCACCATACATTTTCCTAGGGTAATAAGCACATTTGGTAAAATCACATTTTCATTCTTTCCTTGATTATTGTTCCCTGTGGTTGGAATGGCCAGTAAAATGATTCACAGATAATCTTGAAACAAAGGGGAATAAATAATAATAATTACAAGTTGAAAAATTATGACTTTTTAGCATCGACTTATGTAGTAGCAGAATATCATATCACTTCAATGGAATGATCATGGGAAATGTACCCCATTAAGGTTACGCAAGTGTTTTTTGCTTCATGGTCATGTATTATTACATATAAATAGATTGGAGATTTGGGTTTTTCAAGGTGCTCTGTAAAGGATGTCTTGATTAAAGTAGAGAGAGAAGATTCATAGGACAGTGAGGGATGTAAACTAAAAATACTAAGTAAATTAATTAAGAAGCAAATAATATTTTTGTGTTTGTTAAATAAGTAAATTATTGAATCCTTACCTGAGTTTATTAAGTAAATAATTAAATATATAAACATGCAGATGACTTGTCAACTCTCATTTTGGTATATATTATTTCTGTTACTGATGGAATATATTCAGTATAACTTATCTCCAGGAGAAAAGTGAGGTAATGCACAAGAGTTCAGATTTCTTCACATCCTCTCTAACATTTGTTATTTTGTTTTTATTAGTAATAACCATGCTAATGGGTGTGAATGATACTGTGGTGGCAATTTGCATTTCCCTAATGATTGATGTTACTGACCATCATTTCATGTGCTTTTTGGCCATTTCTAAATCATCTTTGGTGAAATGTCTATTCAAGTCCTTTGCCCAATTTTGAATTGGGTTGATTTTGTTGTTGGGTTACAGAAATTTTTTTATATATTCTAGACATCAATCTTTTATTGGATATATGATTTGCATAATATATTTTCTCTCACTCTGGATAATCTTTTCACCCTGTGATGATGTCCTTTGATACCCAGAAGTTTTTTATTTTCCTGAAATGAAGGTTATCTTCTTTGTTGTTTCCTGTGCCTTTGGTGTCATATCCAAGAAATCTTTACCAAATCCAACATCATGAATCTTTCTCCCTATTGTTTACTTCTAAAACTTTTATAGTTATTTAAGCAAGTCTTTAAAGACTTTTTTGTATATAAATTAATTAGTAGGCTTTAAAATAAAAAAAGAATGCTATGGAATTTCAGAGCAGGATGAGATCTATGCGTTCTGGTTGAACAGAATTGAGTATTTTAGTTTAAATGCTCTGATTTTACAAAAGATACGAAACCAAATACTAGAAAGATGAAAGGACGTGTTCAGGTCCTAGGGAGAGTAACTGGCTTGCCTGGGGGCAGCTTAGTAACTAATGTGAGAACATATACTGGTATCCAGGTAGCCATTTGTTCATTTATTAAGAATTTTTATCACCATGGAGTTAAGATTCAGAAAACATGATTTTCCATATAAGCGATTTTAAGAATGAAAAATATGTAGAATTTTTTTTCTTCTGCCACATGGAAAAGAGTAGCATCTGAGGTTTGGCTTAATGAGACAATAAGAGTTTAGTTCCAACATGTTTTCATATCAGCAAGGACAGTCTACTAGAAACATTTATTTCGACCAATGATGAGTTGGAATTTAGTTGATCCTGGTATTAGGGGTGGTTCATGTGCATTTGTTTTTCCAGGTGTTGCTCTCTTGCCATTTGTGGATGAGCGAAGGCTACGAGCTGCCCTAGAAGAGGTATACCCAGACCTCACTCCAGAAGAGAGTAAGAATTACACTTCTTAGTCAACATTGATCTGTGTAATATACACTTTACATTTCTGTATAAAATTAGACCTTTCACCCCCGTTTGTCAAATTTTCCATAAAGGGGGCATAAATCATTGATTTTGTTTCCTTATTACAGACGTTTACCTTGCTTCTTAATTCATTATCTGTAAGTTAAATAGTACTTAAATAAAATGTTTTAACTTACAAGTGTTTGTTAAATTTTTTAAAAAGCAGTGCTTAAATAATATCCTTTGATGTTTTGATTCTTACATGACGTGCACAAACGAAAGTATTTTTTGCCTGTTGGGAAGACATTATTCATTCTCTCCATCTGCTGTCACCCCTACTTACCCCTTTCCCCCAATAATAACTACTTTGCTTGAAAGGTTAGAGTAAAACAAAAGCATTTGCCCTTAGAGTGCTAACTTGAAATGTGACATAAAAGGTGGCATTTTGTAATTCATACTGACAGTAAAAAGTATTCATATTGGGAAAATTGCAAAGCTGGGCTCTATTGAAAAGTTAAATACTATTAACTTTTCAATAGAGCCCAGCTTTGCAATTTTCCCAATAAGCCTATAGAAAGAATTTCTGTATCATCTGTCTTTAGAACAATCTTTTCATTAAATGATACAGTTTGTTTATATTTCCTCAGAAAATGATTATATATTTCTTATACTAAGAAAATGAGTTCATTATAAGTAAGAAAACATTACCCTTTATCTCTTAATATATTCATAGATATTTCTGTGGTTTTTTTTTTCTGATAATTATTGATCTTTTTGAAACCTTTTTGTTAAAATATTTTTTTTCCCCAGAGGCACATCACACATTTAGGTCTATCACTATAATTTTTTTAAAGTTTTTAAATTGATACACACATTTTTGGGGTCCATGTGATAGTTTGATACCTATATACAATATGTGATGATCAAAATAGGGCAATTGGAATATCCACCACCTCAGATATTTATCTTTTCTTGTGTTGGGAACATTACAGTTTTTTTCTTCTGGCTATTTTGAAATATGTAATAAATTATTAACTAATTTCCCTACAGTACTGTCAAATACTAGAACTCCTGTCTAACCTATCACTTTAAAATTCTTTTTCATAAATTTTATAATTAAGTTGTTAAAACTTAGATGCTTTCCCTTGTTTTATACTCATAAAAATTGGTCTTGCAGAACCACCATGGCATGTGTATACCTATGTAACAGTATTGCACAATCTGTACATGTACCCCAGAACTTAAACTATAATAAAAATACAAAAGAAAGAAGAAAAATTGGTCTTGCAGATACAACTTTTTTAAATGGAGGTCTCATTCTTTTATTTCTCCCTAGCCAGAAGAAACAGCCTTGGAGGTGATGTCTTATTTGTGGGGAAACATCACCCACTCCATGACTTCATTTTAGAGCTGTACCAGACAGGTTCCACAGAGGTATGCTATGCAGTTTGGTTAATTAGAAATGTACTTTTTTTGGTAAAATACACATAACATAAAATTTTTTGGTAAAATGCACGTAACATAAAATTTACCATTGTTAAGCATTTTTAAGTATGTTATGCAATTTGGTTAATTAGAAATGTACTTTTTTTTACATTTTGGTAAAATATGCAAAAACACAAAATTTACCATTGTTAAACCATTTTATAAACTATTTTTAAGTGGTTATAATGCTGTGGCATTAAGTGTATGTACAGTGTTGTATAACCATCCCACTTTTTCAGAACTTTTCATCTTTCAAAATAGAATTACTGTCCCTTTTAAATAATATTAAATATCTCCTCATTCTGCCCTTCTCAGCCTCTGGTAACTTTTCTTTTGCTTTCTACCTCTATGAATTTGATACCTCTGTTCTTGATACTTCATATAAGTGAAGTCATACAGTATTTTGTATTGGCTTTGTGTCTGGCTTATTTAATTTAACGTAACGCTGTTTCAGGGTTCATTCATGTTACAGCATGTATCAGCATTTCATACTTTTTTATGGCTGAATAGTACTCTATTTGTATGTGTACATTTTTATCCATTTATCTATTGGTAAATATTTGGGTTGTTTCTGCCTTTTGGCTCTTATGAATGATGCTGCTTTGAACCCTGAAGAATCTGCTTGAGTCCCAATTTTCCATTCTTTGCATATAAGATCAGGAATGCATTTTTCCACAGCCAGTGGATGTACCCCCTGAACTATGTCATGGGATTCAAGGAAAGTTTTCTTTGGATGAAGAAGCCGTTCTTCCAGATCAGTAAGTTTCGTTTGCATATAATTACGGTGACGGGAAGGAAGTTTAGTTAGCATTTTTTCCTTGTCTATGTTTATTTTCTAATAATAGTGAGAAAATTGTATTTAAAATAAGACAAAACCTGGCTAACTGAAAAAGGCTTGGATTCAAAGGGCAGCTCTTCAAAGTAGCTGTATCACCTTGTGCAGGGAGCTCTGGGAGTCCCTTTCAGGATACCCCGAAGGTCAAAACTCTTCATACTGATACTAAGATGCTACGGTGTTACTTGCTCTTCTGACACTTTCTTTCTTGAGTGGACTTTGCCAGAGGCTTCCCAAGAGATAGAAGCAGAGGAGAGTATCTAGTTGTTAAATAGATACTAACCAGATATTAATGAGATTTTCAAAAGTGTACAACAGCATTTATTTTTGTTTTGCTTTGTAAAAAGTAGCTTTTCATAAGAATGTTATTTATGTTAACATGTAGGGTTATCTTTAGTATTTTAAAAATTTCTTAGTCATAATTTTTAATGGGTAAATGTTCATAAATATAACCACTATAAACAAAAGCCCTTTGAGAGTTAATAGTGTAAAAAGGGTTCTGAGACCCGAGTTTGTGAACCACATCTCAAGGGTAGATTTCCAGGAATGGAACTGCTGGCCATAGAGTATGTGTATCTTCATTTTTTTTTCTAGGTAATATTTCTAGGTGGTTTTTCAAGATGGTTACACTGTGTTATGATTCCAGTGGCAGTTTGTGAGAGATCCTGTTCTACATTTTGGCAAACCCTTGTCACAACTCTAATTTCTATCAATCTGGTGGATGCTCATTGACATATTGTGGTTTATATTCACAGTTCTTTGAGTACTAATGAGATTGAATGCTTTATGGCTAATAGTTAACCATTTCATTTATGTGGTACTTATTTTTTTTTAAAGATATAAATGGTTTTATTATTTTTGTTAGTTCATCCTAATGATTTCTCTTTTCTAACATAGCAACAAATTATTTCCACTTACCTAAAAGGTTGCAGTTTACAGATAGATGTGTTTTTCTTGTTTCCTTTTAGAATAGTATGTTCTCCTGTTCCTATGTTAAGGGATCTGACACAGAACACTGTAGTCAGGTAAGTTTTCCAAAATTTATGGTATTCACCCGGAACACAGCTCTGAACTTGCAAATCCATTTTTAAAAGACCTCTGATTCACAAGGAAATGGTAGCTGTTAATCCACCACTGCTTTGAGATTGGAGAGTCCCTCTGTTGCAGACCTTAGAGCAGAGCCTCTTGACTTTAAATTATGTATATTGTTAAGGTTACTGATTTAACATGCTTGCTTCTCTGTTATCTGGTTTCCCATGACAACCTGTAATTCTTCCTGGATTAGGCAAGTGGGAGGTAAAGAGTAGGAGTATCTAGCAGTTTGTTATATTGGAGCAAACAGAACTCTACACCCCAAAGGTTCACACAGCTTCCTTGTATTGCAACACACTGTTTTAATTATGTTTATAATCATGGCCTTGCAGAGTTTGAAAACAAAAATACTCTGTAGTATGTTTTAGTTAAGATGACATAGAATGTAATTGTGAAAATTTGTATTAGCAATTAGAAGCTTAAATGGCTAATTTCTTCTCTGGAAAACTAATTTATATCTCAGTTTTTTGGTGCTGACATCGTTTTCTATTGAGTAAAAATAGTATAAAATGTAATATGACTGTTTAGACTGAAATCCAACAAGTTGACTCCTCACTTGGGTAATATAATGACAGATTATTATGGCAGAGTTCAGTTGTCATTTTCTCCAATCTTTAGGGAAGACTAAAGCAAACGCATCTCAGATATTCAAGAATTTGATAAAAGCCTGCTAATCCTGAATCTTCCTTTTCCATCCATTTTTGTTTCTCTCCCTCTCAGGAAATATTTTAGGTTTTCTTTAGATTTCCCTTCATGAAGTATAAACATGTTTATTTCCTGTCTTTAATAGATTGAGGTAGTAAATGATTGCCATTCTAGAAAGGCTTTTATTTAAAGAAAACTATTTTGAATTTGAAAAATCTTTCTGGATGAGTTGCTTACGTTTACGTATAATTTTTTGTTTATCTTTACACCTATCCTGGTTCTTTGTCTTTGTGCTCTTTTGTTAAGGGTGGGTACAGAATTGAAATCCATACTCCTAAACCCATCACAATCTGGCTCCGACAGATTCAGTGTGAACACTGTGTTTTAACTCTTGGGGTCTCTGGCTTGCCTTAAAGATTGGTGCTTCAGGCGTATTAATTCCATGGTGTTCGGTCTTTGGATTGCCACATGTTTGCTTGTGCTTCTCAATTTTTCTGCATATATCCAAGGGCCTTCCTGCCTAGTCCTCTAGAAACAGTTAATTATACTTAACTTTCTAATTAGGATAGAGAGCCTTGCCCAGAGGAGAGTTACAGAATTAACGGACACATTTTGGAAGTTTTGTTTGGTTGATGATGTTGTTGGTTGGTTGTTTTTGAGCCTAAAGGGGCCTTTGGTATTTGGTGCCCACTATGTTCACAAGATTATTAAATTTATAAAACAGGATGGGCACGGTGGCTCACACCTGTAATCCCAGCACTTTGGGAGGCCAGGGTGGATGGATTACATGAGGTCAGGAGTTCGAAACTAGCCTGGCCAACGTGGTAAAAACCCGTCTCTACTAAAAACACGAAAAATTAGCCATGCTCCTAAATCTATCACAAACAATCTGGCTCTGACAGATTCACTGTAAACACTGTGTTAACCCTTGGGGTCTCTGTCTTGCCTTAAAGCAGTGGGGCTTCACGCTAATTAATTCCACTGTTCTGTCTGGTGGTGGTGCACTCCTATAATCTCATCTGCTTGGGAGGCTGAGATGAGAGAACCACTTGAACGCTTGAGCCTGAGGGACTGAGGCTGTAGTGGGCTAAGATCATTGCACTCCAGGCTGGGCAACAGAGCAAGACTCCATCTCAAAAAAAAAAAAAAAAAAAATTATAAAACAAATCTCAGATCTAAATGCATATTCAGGTATGTTTTGAAAATAACTTTATAATAAAATCAATTAAATTAGGTTAATTTGCTGAAGACTTATGGGAGACCAGCGTTAACTTTTCCCTTAGGTAAAAGTAAGTTTTAGTGTTTTCTCTGAAGAGCAATGTTGATGCTGAGATCCAGTTTTATAGCTGATTTTTACGTGCTTGTTTTAGGCCTTGTATGTTCCAGTGTTATATTTGCTTTATAACTTTAACTTACAATTTTCAGATTAAAAAAATCTCAAAATGTACTCACCAGTATCAATTGCCATTTATTTTTCTTTCGACCCCTGGCATTTTTTTTCCCCCTTCCTTATTTAAATACATGTAGTATCCCATTTGATATTTGAGAAATTGTTTCCTCAAGTTGAGTTTAGGTAAGTTCTTCCCATTCCATTCGTTCTTATCTATAGTGCTCAGAAAGTATGTTATACAGGTTGTTGAAGCCCTTTAAATTCATAAACAGACCCTTGGAGAATATAGTCAGCTCTAACCTGGGAGATCATATTTTTTTTCCCATTTCTAATTCCATAAATTATTCAACATATTAGCTTCTGCATATGACTTTAAAATCATAGAAGAGTTTTCCTCCCAATCTGTCATCTGGAGGGTAGTTGCACACACTTGTGTGCTTTTGTTTTTTCAAGGCCTGACGCACCTTGGCAGGGCCCTGACTCTGTGCCTGAACCCTTAGGTCCTCAGGATGTTTCCTTCCTGCCCAGGCTGACCCCTTCCGTACTCCTTTGACTTCCACCCCTTCCTCCTGTTGTTTGGAGTGCTCTTCCTTTCCTTTCTCCACCTGCTCATTGTCTACCGTTTATTGCTTTTCTTCTAAAGCATAATTTATATAGTTTTTATATATGTTGTTTCCAGCAGTAGTGTCATTAGGTTTTCTTTTTCTCATAGTACCTAGCATAGTTCTAAACCCATATAAAAAAAGCTCAGTTGTTCATAGTGTTGAAACCAGTGTTTGCCAAAGTCTTTGAAGAGCCTAACCTTTTTTTTTTTCAGAGAAGTGTTTCTCAGACTTTTCATATTCACTTTTGGATGAGTCAGACAAGGTATAGAATGTTTTATCTCTTCAAGGAGATTTTTTGTTTTAATGTGAATGTGTATGGAGATGGATATTTTGAAGTAACTATTTCTGAAGCATTTGCAAGGCTAATGCTTGGCAAGCAGATAACTCGAAACCTAAAGCCTGAAGGAAGTGGAATACATGCAGTCAACAGTGGATTTGATGGTGGAAAACAGTTGGCAGGGTTTCACTTTCACTGCCTGCAGTACGTTACAGGATGCTGAACTGGTTAACCTCTTCTGATATGATGTCACCATGCTATAAACTCTTTAAATGTTTTAAAATGTCAAGTATATGAATCATGAAATTTCTCTGCAAGAACAGTTTGCCTTTGCCAATTCAGCATTAATTATGGCATGTATCAGGGAAAGGTATAAAAATGAAATGATATTTGGAGTTTTCTGCTTTCTTTGTGAGCTGTGCTAGCACTCTCTAACAGTAATACTTAAAATAGCATTTCTGGCCGGGCGCGGTGGCTCAAGCCTGTAATCCCAGCACTTTGGGAGGCCGAGGCGGGTGGATCACGCGATCAAGAGATCGAGACCATCCTGGTCAACATGGTGAAACCCCGTCTCTACTAAAACTACAAAAATTAGCTGGGCATGGTGGTGCGTGCCTGTAGTCCCAGCTACTCAGGAGGCTGAGGCAGGAGAATTGCCTGAACCCAGGAGGCGGAGGTTGCGGTGAGCCGAGATCGCGCCATTGCACTCCAGCCTGGGTAACAAGAGCAAAACTCCGTCTCAAAAGAAAAATGGCATTTCTAAGGATAATTCTTCAAGTGAATCAGAAAAAAGGAGTTCCACATTCCATTCCTTTTCTATTGAGCCTTTGCTACAATATTTTCTTGTTACCAACAGTGCTGAAAGTGCTACTTGTGATATAAATAAAAACACTGTTCAGTTTCCTTATTTTTAACCATGCTTAGGTTTTAAATTTTTATTTACTTTGCCCTTGGCGTGTTTATGAAGACAATCAAGTGATTAAAATAGTGAGGAGGTTACCTGTCAAGGAAAGGATCTGTTATGCCACTCAGGGGAAAGCTGGTCTGATACATAAAAGCTTGGTGAGTCAAACAGTGTTTCACCTGCATTTGGAAAACGTGGATAAAAATGCTATTGTTTAAAAATACTTCCGTTTACAGAATTAGATGAAGCAATATAAATCTAAACACAAATCTCTTAACTCAGCTGGGCAGCCTGTTGAGTCCTGGGCAGGCTGTTTGGTTAACTCGTTTGCTTCCTCTGCTTCTCAGAGCTCGTGAGGGTGCTTCTCTCCTTAACTCATTGTTACTACTACTTTCCCCCTGCCAGATAAACTCTTCACAAGTAATGCCTTTTGCTTCTGAGGATGGAGTTTAAATGACATACACATGAAAAAAAATAAATACCTTCAAAAGTTTGGATCCATATAAAAAGTTACCTTTTGGGTCTTTGCCTAATGGATTCCTGCTTAGTCTGTGTGTTTGACTTTTAGGAAGTGTGTTTAAGTCATGGCTTTTATCACATTGGAAAAATACATTTCTAACAACATAAGAGATCTTAGTGTACATTTTTGGGAACAAATTAAAATACAAAAAATCTTTCAACCCTTGAAAGCTTAACTCATTTTAGGAGAGAGTGTGTCTTCAAATTGTTCTCAAAGATCCAAGGGAAAAATGATTTAATCCTTTGATTTCATAAATAGTGTCCTTGTCTTTGAATGGAAGCTTACAAACTTACTTTTAGATACTCCTTTTCCATCTCCTAATGGTTTGTACTGTATTAAGTATATGGATCCTTTTGTTGAGTGTGATTCTGAGAGAAAGTAGGGATGATCTTGGAGATTGTCCTATTGGCTTGGAAGGAAAGTTTTTCCCTTTCAGAGCATGAGCATGAATAATGGAACTTTTAAGACAATTTTATTAAGGGGTAATTGGCAAATAAATGGATTTGTTTTCTCAAAGTGGAATTTCAGCTATCTTTTTAAATCTCTTATAACCATTCTCCCGCAGAAGTGATTATCTCTGTGACCCTGGGATTTTCTCTTCTCCCTGGGAGTTTATTGTCTTGGTTATTTCCTTCGTTTTCTTAGTTTCAGGACTTTGTGTGCATGAGTTGCAGATCTTCATCTGAGCTCCATCTCCATTCTAGTTCCAGCGTTACCATTTTATTTATTTTCCCAACATTCCTATCCAAGATGTGTGTTGAATACTGTTGCTTAGACTGCGTTGGTGACCTCTTTATGGGCGTCCCTCTGCTCTCTTGTATACTGCTGCTGGGTTGTTCTTTCTGAAATGATCTTTGATCACTTTTACTTCCTTATTGACTACTTGCAAAGGCATCACATTATACGCACACAAACCCTCCATGACTATAACCCGCTTCAATTACGCTTTCTTCCTGCCCACTTCAGCTCATATGCATTTTTACTCTAATCTAGCCCTTCTCAACTGGAGTTCCATGGGAGAATTCTGCCTTGAGAACTTAAAGCATCTGTTGTATGTATCAGATTATACGTATCAGTTTGTGTCCTGTGTCTCTAGAATGATACTAGCTATGTTTGTTCCTTGGGAGAACTGAGAATGTACTCACTCGTCATTTTTCGTAGGGCTTAATTCCCTTGCACCACATCTCCGTTGAGAAGGGCTGCTCGAGGAAAACTGAGCTGTTCTTGGTCCTGGGACCCCTTTCCATATCTTTGTTGCATTTGTTTTCTCTGTCATCCTGTAACCAATCCTGTCTCATCTTAAGCCGCAGCGTCTTGGATGATATTTTCCTTAATCCTCAGGTGAAATAATTCCCTTCTCCCCACCCCCGAGTACACACACATCTTTAGCCTATACTGACAAAGATGTTTGTATGGAAGGTGTGTATACACACATGCTTTGACTCAGCATCTTTTCTGTGCCTGTTGTTGCATTTTCCACTTTCTTCCTTCTTTCCCTTATTAGAAGGGGAGACAGGCTTGATGCCTGGTAATGTGCATAATCCCCCTTCCCACCATGAACCATGCATGCAATAGATAGTCTATCAATTTGGCAAACTGCTAAAAAAGCCCCGCTGAAACACAGATACCTGCTTCAACACTTTATTTGCAAGTCTTGCTTTATTACCCATTTTCTCTCTTGACTTTTTATCTGCAAAGCCCTAATGAGCCCAAATACTTAACTACTATTTTGTCTATCATCCTCTTAAACCTTTGTCACTGCCTGTCCTACCTTGCCCTACCCTATGCCATCTTACCAGTAGAGAAAATCTGAGCTAAAGACAGTTGCCAGTGAAGAATGAGTTGTAAGAAGAACCAGTTGAGTAATAAGTATTGTTCAGCTGTTCTTGAGCTCATGGTGTATTTATTACAAGTGAATCCATTTTTGTGTACTTCATATTTTACATGAAAATTTCTGTAAAGCCAATGGACTCTAGTTAAAGTGGCAGTATTCAGAAAGAATACAGCTATCTAAAAATGTCAACCAGGTCAATAAAACCATTTAAACTAACTGTAAGTATAATCATTGGAGGAAATTTGAAAAATATATTTTTAAAAAGGAAACAAGTTACTGACTTATAGAGAAAAATCACTGATAATCTATTGATGAATATGTCTAGTCTGTTGCATATATATATATTTCCCATGTCATTAAGTATTCTGTTACTAAATCTTTAAAAATATTATCTGAGTTCTCCTAAAAAGGAAGAACTCTAGTTTTTTAACCAGTCCACTATTATTCATACACTTGGGTTTTACAGTCTTTCAAACATTATGAATAATAGTGTTAGAAGCATCCCTAAGTATAAATCTTAAGATTTATAACCAGAGTCCTGGAAGAAGAATTGCTGTGCCAGAAGACAGAGTTAGGTACTTACCAACCTCTGGGATAGGTACACACACATATATACCACTACCACAGCCATCACTATCAGAAAATAAGTTTGACCCAGCTTATACTCAAAGTCTGAGTATATATAGCTTTTAAAAATTGGCATATTGGCCGGGTGCGGTGGCTCATGTCTGTAATCCTAGCGCTTTGAGAAGCTGAGGTGGGTGGATCTTTTGAGTCTAGGAGTTTAAGACCAGCCTGGACGATGTGGGAAAACCCCATGTCTACAAAACATACAAAAATTAGCCGGGCGTGGTGTTGCATACCTGTAGTCCCAACTTTGAGGGAGGCTAAAGTGAGAATTGCCGAGCCTGGGAGGTTGAGACTGTAGTGAGCTGTGAGTGTGCCACTACACTCCAGCCTGGGCAACAGAGTGAGACCCTGTCTCAAAATAAAAAAGCGTATTTGTGTAGTTTTCAAATTGTGAAAACTATTTTATTATTTAAAAATCACATATTAGGAGAGAAGGGTACATGGGTCCAACTGTGAAGTTTAATATATTTTATAGCCCCCCCAATAGATTTCTTAGCTATTTGTGTACATTTTTTTATTTTGCAAAAATGTTTCTATTGGTATATCCATCTTTTCTTTATTAAAATAGGAGCTAATCTCCCTCAAAATGCTAGGGGTCTTTGCCATGGACTGGACAAAATGAAAGGCAATTTTTATTTTTTGTTGTTATAAACCTCTTCCACCTGTCCACAATACCATATCAAAATTTGAGTTGGGCCAATGGCTGTTATGTCTCTGTCATCACCAGCAGTTAGCTAGAATATGACTTTCCTCACAGAGAAAGTTACCTGAAGGTTATATGTACAAGGAATTAGAGACAGTTTGGTGAGGAAGATATTTAGCCATTTGGCAAATCCATTAACTAAAATAATTTTTGGAGAGGACTTAAACATGAAAAATACCTCAGTCTACATGATAATATAATCAGATCATTGAATTGTTTATTGTTCTTTTCCAGTATTAATTTTAAAGACCCACAGTTTGCTGAAGATTACATTTTTAAAGCTGTAATGCTTCCAGGAGCAAGGTAACAACAGTAAATTACCTAGGTTTATTTTGTACAAGTGGTTTTCATTCCTTTTACTAAAAGTTGTCTTTTTAAATGGTCAGAAAGCCAGCAGCAGTATTGAAACCTCATGACTGGGAAAAATCCAGCAATGGACGGCAGTGGAAGCCCCAGCTTGGCTTTAACCGTGACCGGAGGCCTGTGCACCTGGATCAGGCAGCCTTCAGGACTTTGGGGTGAGTTGTCAGTTTCTAGCCCTTATGTATTTTGCTTTTTCTGAGTCATCCCACAAAACAAGTCAGTATTTATGCCATCTTTTTTTTTTTTTTAAACTTTATGAAAATACTGAGTTTGTTTCACATGTATATTTTTGTCTCACCACCATATCTGACCACCGCCAACTACTATGTCCTCTCATAACATTGCTTACATACTTAAAACCAGGCAAAGAGTGGAGCTCCATCTTTAAAACCTAAACAGGCATTTTGGACAACACATTATTGTATGCCACAAATATCTGACAGACCATAAAATACAACTGTTTTGTAGATATTTTAATAACTTCGATACTGCTCTGCTTTTCTTTTTAAAAATTCACTTCTCCATTTATATGTTGCTGTATGTGTTGCATGAGTATTCTATTATTTTCTCTAAGACGTTTTACTATTTTTCTGATTGTTACTTCAAGGGAATGAAACCTCCTCTTTACCCTCAAGAAAGTTTAGCTGAATTAATCATTGTATGATGGAGAGTCTTTTTCAAGTGTTAACCAGTAGAGAAGCCTCCAGTCTCTTAAAGTTTTGTTTGCCTAGTGCTTGAAGAGTGGCATCTCATAGTTGCTTGAATTGACATTTCCCTGCAATTATCTTTTAATATGTTTATTAGTCATTTGTATTTCCTCTTCTGTGAATTTCTGATTTTTAACCTTTGCCCTTATTAGTTATTGAATTGGCTTTTTCCTAGCTGTAGAAGATACTGTAGAGAGAGGGGACTTGCACTTGAAATAACAGGTAAAGCTGGTGTAAAAAGAGCAACAGGCTTGCCATAATATTGAGTTAGGATTCATGCATTAATAATTACAACTTATAAATAGATATTTTCAATTAGCGGGGACACCTTAAGATTCCAAAAGTGATGTAGGCAGAAGGTCACCATCTGCATGTAATTTATACAGCAGATATTAAGAGGATAGTTTGGCAGAGTGATTGAGAACATGGGCTTTAGATCTTAAATGTCTGGATTCAGATACCTTTTTTTTTTTTTTAATTTAACCACTTAATATATTTGTGAACTTAACTGAACCACTCTATGCCTCCATTTCTTTATGTCTGAAGTGGAGACAGTAATTATGCCTATATATTCTTAAAATTATGAAGTTGTAAGAATTAAAGTGAGCCTAATACCTGTCAAGTGCTTAGGTAGTGCCCTAGGAACTACCCTATGTAAACACTAGCTATTATTGTTTTGGAAAGTTTTCATTCTTAGTAGCAGTAAAAGAAATGTAGATTTAAAATAGTCTGAAGATAACTTTTTGCATTGTTTCAGCTGTTTTGGAAAGCAACATAGTATTTCCTCTAAATAGAGTTGTGAGTTCAGAAGATATTCTTAACCTTTGATCCAAATTCTTCTTGGATTTGTACTGAGGAAATAATTTTAGGTGAGCATAGTTATATGCCCAAGTATTTCTATTGCACTGTAATCTATACTACTAGTACGAAATGAGAGAAATGGTTAAGTATAAGACATCAACATAGTGAAGTATTCTATAGGTGTATGCGTTTCAATTATGAAGGTGAAGAAAAGATACAGGTAAATATTTGATATAGTAAATTTAAAATAGCAAGATATAGAGTAGTCGTATATACAGTGATAGCGAGAACATGGATCCTTAAGGAAAAAACTGAAATATAAGGCAAAAAAAGACAAAACATTCAAGTTTATTTTTTGTATGATGTGAGTTGTAAGTATTTAAATGATTATCAATTAAGAGTCTTGGTGTGACAGATGAACATTTACTGTCTCTATTACCATTATGTAGTTTCCAGCTTTAATTATAAACCTTCTTTTGTATTATCTTAATCAGATCTGTTAGTGAAGACATGGCTGTGAGCATTTGTTTGTTTTATTTGTGTCAGCTGTGTTATATAATCACTATATATATATTTTTTTTCTTGTGTGGGGTCCTTTTATAGCCACGTTATGCCAAGAGGCTCAGGAACTGGTATTTACAGCAATGCTGCACCACCACCTGGGACTTACCAGGGAAACTTATACAGGCCGCTGTTGAGAGGACAAGCCCAAATTCCAAAACTTATGTCAAGTAAGCTTTTACTAATCGGTTATTTTACATTATAAATTAAATATCACAACAAAAGTTGATTTCCAATCTTCCTTGCTGAAAAAGATTGGTTTTATCAGTGCAGTGAACTTTAAAAACATGTAAGCTAGAAGAGTTGTAAGAGAATACCTTATGCACAATCTTTCATATATTTTTCATCTTTATTTTTGCAGGTGCCTTGTAGCTGTATATATTTATGGGATACATGAGATATGTTGATACAGGCATACAATTAGTAATAATTACATCAGGGTAGATGGGGTATCCATCACCTCTAGCGTGATTCTTTGTGTTAGGAACAATCCAATTATACCCTTTTAGTTATTTTTAAATGGTTTGCTATCAAATACTAGATCTTATTCATCGTTTCTAACTTTTTTTTGAGATGGAGTCTTACTTTGTCACCAGGCTGGAGTGCAGTGGCACTATCTCAGCTCACTGCAACCTCCGCCTCCCGGGTTCAAGCAATTCTCCTGTCTCAACCTCCTGAGTAGCTGGGACTACAGGTGCGTGCCACCATGCCCAGCTAATTTTTGTGTTTTTAGTAGAGATGAGGTTTCACCATGTTGGCCAGGCTGGTCTCTATCTCTTGACCTCATGATCCGCCCACCTTGGCCTCCCAGAGTGCTGGGATTATAGACTTGAGCCACTGTGCCTGGCCTCTATTTTTTGATACCCATTATCCATCCTCCCCTCCCCAGCTCTTCCTCCACTACCCTTCCCAGACTCTGGTAACCCTCCTTCTACTCTTTGTCTCCATGAGTTCGATTGTTTTAATTTGTAGTTCCCACAAATAGTGAGAACATGCAAAGTTTGTTTTTCTGTGCTTGACTTGTTTGACTTAACATGATGACCTCCAGTTCCATTCATGTTGTTACAGGTGGTAAGATCTCATTCTTTTTTGTGGCTGAACAGTACTCCTTTGTGTAGGTGTATCACGTTTTCTTTATCATTCACCTGTTGTTGGACACTTAGGTAGCTTCCAAATCGTGGTTACTGTGAATAGTGCTGGAGTAACTGTGGGAGTGCAGATGTCTTCTTGATGTACTGATTTCCCTTTTAAAGGTGTATACCTGGCTTTAAGGATTTCTGGATCATATGGTAGCTGTAGTTTTATTTTTTTGAGGATCTTCCAAATTGTTCCATATTGGGTTGTACTAATTTACATTCCTACCAGTGATCTGTGAGAGTTCCCATTTCTTCACATCCTCACCAGCATTTGTTATTGCCTGTCTTTTGGATAAAAGCCATTTTAACAGGAGCAAGATGATATCTCATTGTAGTTTTGATTTTCATTTCTCTGATGATCAGTGATGTTGAGCAACTTCTTATATCCTGTTCGCCATTTGAATGTTGAGAAATGTCTAAGAGATCTTTTGCCCACTTTAAAATCAGATTAGATTTTTTTTTCCCATAGAGTTGTTTGAGCTCTTTACGTATTCTAGTTATTAATCCCTGGCCAAATGGATAGTTTGCAGATATTTTTCCCATTCCATGGGTTGTCTCTTCACTTTGCTGATTGTTTCCTTTGCTGTGCAGAAGGTTTTTAACTTGATGTGATCCTATGTGTTCAGTTTTGCTTTGGTTGCCTATACTATTGGGGTATTGCTCAAGAAATGTTTGCCCAGACCAATATCCTAGAGATTTTCCCCAAAGTTTTATTGTAGTAGTTTCATAGATTTAAGTCCTTTTAAACTATTTTTATTTGATTTTTCTATATGGTGAGAGATAAAATTCTAGTCTCATTCTTCTGCATATGATATCCAGTTTTCCCAGCACCATTTATTGAAGAGACTGTTCTTTCCTCAGTGTTTGTTCTTGGTTCCTTTGTCAAAAATGAGTTCACTGTAGATGTATGGATTTATTTCTGAGTTCTCTATTATGTTCCAATGGTCTATGTTATCTGTTCTTATGCCAGTACCATACTGTTGTGGTTACTGCTGGTCTGTAGTATAATATGAAGTCAGGTAATGTGATTATTCCAGTTTTGTTCTTTTTGTTCAGGATAACTTTGATTATTCTGGGTCTGTTTTTCATCTTGACTATATATAGTTAACTGAAAAAGATAATTTGGATTTCTTCCTTAATCTTCACTTACAAATCTGTTTCTCAGTTAACACAGGCGAAAGAAGTATGTGGAAATGATTGCAATGTATTTCATTAATACAAGTATAATTAAATCAGATGCAATAGATATGGATTGTCATCACTTAGTTGCCTGAAAGACAAAGGTATCCCTTTCTTGATCCACATTTTATCTCCGTACTACCTACAGTATAGCTAGGCACTGCTTTAGGTAGACTATATCTTTTTTTTTTTTTTTCACTCACGTTACCCAGGCTGGAGTGCAATGGCGCGATCTCGGCTCACCGCAACCTCTGCCTCCTGGGTTCAGTCAGTTCTCCTGCCTCAGCCTCCTGAGTAGCTGGGATTACAGGCACGCGCCACCATGCCCAGCTAATTTTTTGTATTTTTAGTAGAGACGGGGTTTCACCATGTTGACCAGGATGGTCTCGATCTCTTGACCTTGTGATCCACCCGCCTCGGCCTCCCAAAGTGCCGGGATTACAGGCTTGAGCCACCGCGCCTGGCCTAGACTATATCTTTAACCCTATAGTTCTGGGAAACTTTAGTCTTTCCTTAACCCCTCATAACCTGTTTTGTGGGCAGGTCAGAAATGTTGACCACAAAAATAATTAACATGGCATTTGGATTGCAGTGGGAAAGGGAAAAGATAGTTGAGTGTTAAGACTTCATACATTTTTCATTAATTTTAAATTGTATCCCCATTTAATGTTATTTTTAAGCTCCGTTGTTATACCTACTTATCAAAGAAGTGTAAGTCATGTGCCCACGTTTCAAATTAATGTCTTCATGAAGGCTTTGTTTGTCCATTTCTGGTTGTCTGGGCGCTACAAGGGCAGCATGGAGGAGAAGAAACAGTGTGACAGATGCTCACATTTGTTAAATCTGAGTGTCATATCATTAAAACAATTTTTTCTGAATGTTTGAAATATTTCATAAAAATTTAATTAAAAAAAAAAACAACAGAGTGATACTTTGTTATAGATACCCCTCAGAACTGTTTTTAAATGAAAGCTGTACTTATTAAAGAACGTGCCAGGTTAAAATGGATGGGAAATATTTGTTCTATGCACCTAGCACCGTTTTAATGCCAGTTAAGTTACCAACCAGAAGTCCAGATTTTTTTGATGTACTACTCAAGAAGAAATTGGTTCTATAGGTCTTACTCTTTCAGAGCCCTCTGTTTTTAGCGTATTGACTTTCTCTCTGCCCTTCTCTCCAGCAGCATAGCTTTGCTGCATGGCTTAATGACATTGAATGGAGCTTTGTGAGACTCTTATCATGAAAACTCTGGACTTCTATTCAGTGAAGCACAGAAGGGGTACAGAGTTAATGGTCCTGTGGGAATCTGCTTGGTGCAGTGATTATCAGCTGTTTCCCCTAAGATTTAGCAAATAACATTTCTAGGCATTTCTGTATGTTCAGTATCAAGTCATACTATGTACAACAGGAGAGTCTAATCATTTTGAGTGAACTGTCTTTGCCCTAAGATTTTACCAATAAATGGTCAAAGCATATCCAACATATTTTTAAAGCCAGCTGTTTATTGACATATTCCTTATCAGTTTCTTTTTTCTTGTGGCTCTTTACCATTCATATGGATACCATGGCCTTCTGCTTCTAGCCTACAAGATCCTGTTCCAATAATAACAGAAAGAAAGAAGCCAGAAGGTTCTTTTTTTATTTATTAGCTTTACAGCAGAGGAGAGAATTTCATGCCCTAGGGGCCTGCAGTTCTATAGTTCTTAATCTGCCTTCTTTGGAAATAGACAACTCTTGTTTGCATCTGTGCATTTTATTTCGAATAGTGGAGTCCCTCTCTATTTTTACTAATATTACTTTGGTTAAATAACTCCTTATTTGCCATTGTTGTGGCTGTTATTAAAGTTAATGTATACTTGCACAGTACAAAATACTTACAAACAGACTTTAATTAGAATCTATGCCAGTTAGAATATCTTTATTTAAATTACGTCATGAAAAATTGGGAGATGTGGTTTGTAAAGTAGGGATTGATTTAGAGCAAGAAACAAGTGCCCTCTGCCTCATGACTTGTAAACATGGAGTTACCTTAGGATTAGTGCTGGGACTCTAAAGACATTTAACATCTTTTCAAAGGGGATAGGAGGAGTGAAAAAGTTTATGGACAAAAAATCAGCAATCATGTGGTATTTAAATTGAGCCAACAAGTGAGGAATTTGGGTTACTCTAGGCTGAGAGAAAATAATGAACTTTAAGTACATGGCAAGTATTTGGGTGGTATTAAGCATAGCATAACTGATACAAAATTAGATTGGGAGCATACATTGGAAAAGATTATGAGGGGAGGAAAGCTAATTTTAAAAATATTTTTAGTGATTTTAAAATGTATCTTTAACTGCAGTACATGTTAATTGAATAAAATGTGGCATGTAGCAATAAAACATAAAAAACACCCATAATTCCACAGTCCTGAAATAAGCAGTGTTTCTTTTCATAATTTCATGTGTGCAAGTTTTGAAAATTAGGTTATTATACATGTGTTTTTACATATACTTTTTACTGAAGTGTAACATATATAAAGTACCAAATTGAACTTATACAGTTTAGTGTTTATGAAATGGACATACTTATGTATCCACCATTCAGATCCAGTAGAAATGGATCAGTCCTCAGAAGCTAAAGGACTGATGAGTTCTTCCCCAGGCACTACCCTCAGCCCATTAAAGGGAACTGCTATCCTTACTGCAGTATCATAGTATCATATGTCACCTTTTTGTTTTTTTTTAAACTTTACCTAATAGTTTAAAAAGCTATTACATGACTACGCTTTTAAAAGCTTGCCTTCTTTTCTTCAGTCTTTGTTTCTGAAATTTATATTGCTTGTAGCAATAGTTCATCCATTGTCTTTTTTCTTT